TTCCATTTGCTCATCACTAGGCTTCTGCCCCTCTGCCCTCCTTTACCGTGTCACGTGTACTTCAGGGTCTTTCAGCCTCAGAGCCTTTGCTTAAGCAACTGCCTCCATCTGGGCTCCCCCACACCATTGTTTCCTATGCGTACTCCTTTTTAGCTTTTTTCTTTTACTTATTTGTTATTCAAACAATACTTTCTAAGCATCTACTATGGTGCTACGGCAAAGCACCATATAACGCCTGGGTTCCATCCCCAGCACTACCAAAAATACAAATAGAAAATGCTGGGAACACGACAGTGAGATTAGATTCTAGCCTCTTGGAACTAAAAATCTATCAAAAACTTGAAGTTTAGTAAAATACACACACATCTATAATGTGTGCTGCCAAGGAGAGCGGTGCAGAGCTACTGCAGAAACTGACTGGGATAAAAGAAGTCAGACCAATGAGGAGGCCGCCGCCTTGTTCCAGGAGATGGCAGGCCGTGGACGAGGGATGGGACATAGAAAAGGCGGCTGACTGCAGAGGTGCTCCAAGGTAGAACTGAGACCCGGGCAAGAGGCGTGAGTGGTGGCGTGAGGCTTCCAGCTTGTGCAATGGGGTACAGGGAGGGACCATCTCTGGAAAGGGGACACCAAAGAGGGCTTAGGCAGTCGGGAGGTGACTGAACCAGGGGTGTAGACAAGATGTCCTGGAGAGGGAGGCTGGCTGGTGAAGAGATAAGGACCTGGGACCAAAGTTTAAAGAGAGCATAAGGCACAATCCTGCTGTATTTCCCAGCTCTGGTCTGTCCTCCCCAGAAGACTGTAAGCTAAGGACAGCAACTGCATCTTTCACTGAGCATATGTCTTCTATAGGGCTGAGCCCCAGTGCCGCTGTGGCCCTGAGCCAGCCTCATCCATTTCTTGGGTGACATGACTGAGTTTGCTGGCTCCCACTGCCCAGCAAAAGTCTCTAAGCCTGCCTGGCATTCAAGCCCTCTAAGTCTTGCTGCACCCTCCTAGCACTGTAACCCAGTCCACCTTTTACTTCCAAGTCTCAGTTCTCCAAACTGGGATTCATCTACACCCCTGCTCTGAACTAGGGAGGTACACAACAGAATGGGCACAGTGCCCCTCCGGGGAACCAGGAAGATGCCCTGCAGAGAGGAGCTCCATGGACCTTGTGGGGCTGTCCAGGCCCTACCCTTCTTCTCTGACAAATGCTCCCCTCCCACATGGCAGGTCTCGGTGGCCATGTTTACCCTGCTGTGTCTGTTCCTCCATGACCTCGGCTGATGAAACAGGGGTGGAGACCCAGCTTCTGGGACAAATCCAGACGCTGGGCTGGGCTGTCAGCCCCTGCCAGGAACTCAGAAGTGGGACACGAGACTGGCTTGGTTACCTTTAGACACCGGACCAGTGAGATCACGTGATCACAGGGTGTCTGATGATAAGGGAGCAAAAGCAAAGACAGAGCTGCCTCAACTCCCGGGGCTCCAGGCCAGACCCGCTGCTGCCCAGTTCCTCCAAGCACCTCTAAGTCCTTAAAACTCATTTCCCTTCAACAGAAACAAGCCTCAGAGAGTTTATATTTCTTTTAAGCAATCTCTAGGGTCACATAATTTTTACATTATAACAAATATAGATGTATTTTGAAGCAAACTGTAAAATCATGAGAATATTAAAACTTTAGAACGAAATCCTTTCTAAATCCAGATTCAAAGAAGCAAAAATCAAAGATAAACTTAAAATGTGCATTATAAGACAAGCAACTTAAAACATAAGATATGATATTGATCTAGGTAAATATCCCTCTAACCACTTCCCTTCCCACCAATAATCTGTTTGCTATGAAGACATAATCAGGAGCCGGTGCTCTCCTCTGGGGAGAGTACAGTCAACATGGCTTATGGGGTTCCTCATAGGCCCTCTTCCCAACAGCCTCTGAACTCACTCACTGTGTTCTTCATTAACCACAGTTCAGCCATCCAGCCTGGAAGTGCTGCTTCCTCCAGGAAGCTCTCCCTGGCTGCACTAGTCCTCACAGGCTCTCTCCCTCTCCTGCCCCGCTAGACTCTTATGGCACTGACTGTACCTTTCTTTGAGAACTCAGGACAGACTCCTGGCATTCCTACCAATCTCCCTAAGATGGGGTGCATGTCCCAACCAGTTAGTCAACCAAAAGTAGCATCTTTATATCCTTGGTGCCAACACAGAGATGGCCTGGAGAACCAGAGAAAGCACAGCAGTCAGACAGACCCGCTACGCGTCAAAGGGCAACTGCCTAATCTCCCTGGGCCCATTCTCACTTGTGATAGTGTATCAATGGTATGTGGCTGTAAAGGGGCCCAGGACAGGAAGAAACTGGCTAACTTACTATCTTTAAGACTCCCTTACTTTGTGCAGTGCTTCATGATTTAAAAACAAAAAACTTTAACAACCCAGAGAGGTAAGCAGGGAGGGATTAATGAGACCCATTTAAAGAATGAAATAACTGAGGTTCAGAGAAGTTACATTTAGGGAGGACAGACAGGTGGACCTTAGAAGAGAAAAAGAGCAGGGCTTGGAACACTAAGGAAGAAATGCTAGTTCTCTCACTACCCAGCCATTGAGAGCTTGGACAGTTTCTCGCCCTCTCTGGATCTCAGTTTCTCCATCTTAAATGAGGGAATTCCCAGCTGATTTCTGTATTAAAGCGTCCCTCAGCTCAGACATTCTAGTTTTCTGTGACCTGCCCAGGGTCCTTTCCAACAGTGCTGCCAAAAAGAGCAGCAAGTCCTAGGGCAGGGTCCCTGTTACTTACAGGAAACCAAATGAAATTGGGAGACTTGATTTAAGAATCAGTTTCATTTTGATTCAGCCACATGGAACTTCAAGCCTGGGAGTGAGTTAGTTATGCCCAGAACTGGGAGGGGTGGTTTTGCAGCATCAGACCACATGTAAGCACAATATAATAACAACACATACATGCAAATGCAAAAACAATCAGGAAACCTCAGGAAAGTCTAATCCAAAGGTCAGACCCTTAACTTTTGGGGGCACTGAAAGGCTAAAGAGAAAAGATGTGTTTAGGTGCCCAAGACTTTCTGTTACAAAAAATGAGCCCTTGCATGCACCAACCAAAGATCCAAAGGTAAAGGAGGCTGGGTTTTATCCAGCCTAAACTGGGACAAAGCTGAATCCTGACCAGAGTTTTCTGGGCTTCCAGACCTGTTCTAAGACCTCCCTCCCCAAACACAAAGTGCTCATATGCACAATGCCAGTCAAGGCCAGATGTGCATAGGCATAAATAGACGTTTCTCTCCACAGGAAAGGGTCCACCGTGCAGCTCCTTCTGCTTTAATGAACAACCTGGAGAGGAAGGTGAGCTGTGAGAGTCCTAAAGATTCCCATGGCACTTAACTCTACCTGGTCATAAAATGCAAGGCTACAATGACACCCCTCAGGGAGCGCTCCTCAAGACAACGCTGGGCGGCAGCACTCCCCCGTGAGCCTCCCAATAAAATACATACATTCCTGGGCAGCAGACTCTAAACTACTGAATCTGCTCAAGGAAAGGATCCAAACCTCACTGGTTGCTTATTTTCTTTAAAACATGCACTCCTACTATGTTCAAGAGTCAAGAGACTCAATCACCACCATCAAAAGAGGTCTGTCAATTAACCTGGCAATCGATTGATAATCATTCCATGTATCAAGATGCATGCTTTAATGGCGGAATGAGACGGACATCATTACCCTAGGTAGTGTATAATTGCATGAATGTTGTGACTCTAATGCACAACTAGAGAATGAAAAATTCTGCTCCATTTGTGTACAATGAATCAAAGAGCTTTCTAATGTCATATATAACTAATTAGAACTAAAAAATAAATAAATAAAAGATGCATGCTTTACACACATTGCTTCACATAATACCAAACTCTGAGAGGTGAACATTCTTATCCCCATTTTACAGATGACAGAATAGGTCACATGGCCAAGCTCACCCAGATGAAAAAATTCATAGCCAGACTCTGAACACTGCTCTGCCTCCCCAAAGTCAATTCCCTTTGTACAATTCTCTACTATCCTTTAGAAGGGAGACAAACAGACTTGCAGATGGAGGGTCAGCTGGCCAGGGGAGAGAAGGTTTACCAAGACACTGGCTCAGAGTACTATAACTATGGAGCTTTGTTCTGTCACAGAGTAGATGCCCAGCACACTTATGGTGAAGGATGCAAGACTAGAGATGAGATCCACAAATGCCACCCCAATTCAGGGCACTCTCTGGAGAGGAGCTGTACAATCACATTCTGTTGGCCCAAAGCCACAGGGTGTCTGCCCTAGACTATTCCCTGCAGAGGAGCCAGGGAAAGCTGCAATAAGTTCGGAGAAGAGGAATGAACTCCAGTGAACATGGGAATGGGGTGGGGCAGCCTGCAAGGGCAAAGAAAAGGCCTGGGACGCTTTGCGAGGAAAGACAAAGAGGAGAGGGGAGGGGAGAGGAGCCTATAAACTTGCCAACAGCCCGGCCAAGGTGAACCCCGGCTCCTGGCGCCTTCCCATCCGCATTCATTCCACAAGGCGGGCCAAGTCTCAGAACGAGCAGCAGAGGGTAGGGTGAACTCCCTGCAGCCCAGAGAAGTCAGATAATGTGGCGGGGAGCCTGCTCTTCAACTGGGGAGTGACTTGGAGGTGGGGGGCACATTTGTGAGGCTCCGAAGATGAAAACACAGAGCTTAAGGCGCTGAGCAAACACACATCTGACCGGGCAGATCTCCCAGAGCATCTGGGGCATGTGCCCCGACATGTGGAGTCTGTCATCGAAGTGACCTCGAGTCCCCTCACGGACAGTCCCTCGGGCCCTCCCCCGCCTCGACGGTGAGGACGCAGATGTTTGAGATGTGCTGGGTTCCCACAGATCTAGGAAGGGGGCGGGTTTCTGGGGCCCAGCGGAGGACCATCGCAGCTCCCAGCGCGCCTGTGAAGGTCAAGGCCAGGCCCCGCACAACCTCAGCCCCCTCCCGCCTCGGGCGCCTCACCTCCTCCCGCGCCAGCGCCGCCCCCCGGCATCGGGGCATCTTGGCGGCGAAGGCGGCGGCCCCAGCCGGGGAGCTGAGGTCCTCTGCGGTGACGGCCAGGAACTCGGCGACGCTGAGCTGCTCAGGCATGGCGGGCGCTGGTCGGGGGCACCGGGGCTGCCGGAGCGGGACGCGGGGGGCGCTACGCTGCACCGCGTTGGGACGGCCTCACCAACGGCCGCGGGCCCAGTCCGGACCTCCGCGTACCCCGCCCCCGGGCCCGCAGCGCCCCGCCCCGACGCTCCGCCCCCATCCCGACGCCCCGCCCCGCCCTCCACCCCCACCCCACCCCAGTCCCTCGCCGGCGCCCCAGGCTCGGTTCCCAAGGGCTCCCGGGACCTTTGTCCAACTCCCCAGCCCCCTCCCGGCCCCTCGCCTAACTCAGAGACTCGGTGCTCGAGGGCTTCCAGACCCCCAGAACTCTGCCCCGGCC